GTCCCAGTGATTGAATCTTTTATCTTCTCAGTTACTTTCTGGGACTTGCATGTTAGTTTGTACTGCCCAATCTTCATCGGAGCCGTTGGTTGATACTTAACTACTTACCGCTATAAGACAGTCTGGAGGAGTTTCGGGCAAATGCCAATTTCGGTCTTGCAATAAAAAAATAGTCTCACAACCCATCACTGATCTGATATTTTTTTAAGATGGCGCCGCAGTATCGAATGGGACTTCGGTAGACTGAGATAACGTTAGATTAACGGGCAGCATGCAAAGACGAGACCCGACATCTGGCGAGCCTTCTCCTATCTGAAGAACACCTCTCGAAAGCATCAAGCCTCCTTCTTGCGTCATCAGGATGCACTGTTGTAGGCGGACTAAAAGAAGCACTCGGATGCCACACGATGATGATGGTGGTGGGCGTACCGATAACACAGCAAAGAACGTCTAGAGTCATTTACTGAGTCTCGTGCGGTGGGATGAGCAGGAATAACACTCAGGATGCGGATAACCCAAAATGCATCGGAGAAATGACGCTAGCTCGTTAGGTCGAGGCTTAGTCGACAGGACCTGATCACACTTTCGATGAGAGCGAATTCTCGCGGGAAATGACAGCTGTTTGCGGTGCGAGCTGTTTGATCTACTATGGCGTCTAGGTTCACAGTACAACAACAAACGTTCAGACTACCTGGGAAAAGTAATTAATCACGCAGAAAGTTGTAGGGGACTGAACAGCCTTTTTCATTGGCAGTAATAGTGTGCCGAATGACCACTCCAGTGCGGTCGGCGCCATTAAAGACGCCGGCGCCGTCGGCGAAGCCGACATCTGACCAGGTAAGGGAGCTGCTAACTTTAGAAAGTGCATAGCCGTTTAGGAAATGTAACCTGTAAATCCCGCACTCCCTCCGTGCGTCCTCCCTCCTCATCTATTGTTGTCCCTGATGTTGGGTTTGCTAAAAGGTTGGACATGTAGAAGGAGATCAACCGAGTCTTCTTATTCTTTTTGACTGAATGGGTGCCAATTAGGGATGGCAGAACAAACTGAAGTTAAATTCGTGCGCAGCTTAAACGACTCCAGTTACTACCTATGCCTACAGGTTAACTCTTCAGAAGTGACAGGAAGCGCCAGGACATTCTGTTCTTCCCATGTCTGACTATTCCCCAGAAGTGGATTTCATTCGGTTCACAGAAGAGGACATGAATTCTTTTGGTACAATACCTGACTGCTCACCGGGTTTTCGAGAACCTGGGGTCTGTC